AGACATATAGTTAACACCAAAAAATGCAAAATATGTATCATTTTAAAACACAGATATATGCAAAACAAAAATATGTAGTTTTTACTTTAAGACTCTTCTAGCAGATCCTGGATAGAGTGGGAGAACAAGACGGAACAAAACTCAAAATCATTTAAAAAAAAAAAAAAAAAAGGACCAGGTTTGCTGGTCTGATAGAGCCTGATGGAACTGCTGAGACTATGGCCCCTTGCTGCCCTTCAGGTCTGGAATTGAACTCACTCCTGTGGCTTCCAGCCAAACGAAAGACAGGTATATGAGCTGAACATGTACATTAGGCAGATACACTCCTTGAAGAGACCAATCACAGGAGAATAGAAGGGCTGTGTGTGCACAGGGACATAGGCCAGAGGGCAGGGTGCATGGAGGGAAGGACATAGGGAAGAGGCAACTATGGGGAGGAAGTGGGAGGGGAATTGTTGCACTGTGGGAAATTGTAGGCAATGTCATGAGACAAAGTGTATGTGAGCGGCGGTGTGGAAAGTTAATTTGCTCTGTAAATTTCACCCAAATCACAACAAAAATTAAAAAAAAAAAAAAAAGAAGAAGAATCTCCCAGCATACATGCACACACACACACTTACTTTCAAGGGACAATTGTTTATGAGATTACTAAAAGACTACACACCCTTGGCTACAAGTAGTATAAAATCCATTTTCCAGGAAAATGTGTTCCTTCTCCAAAAAAGAGAACGTCCTGTATGACACCAATCTTTTCACATAATACGGGATCACTGACATTTTTGCTAAATGACTTAGCCTTTCCTACTTTTGGAAAGCTGGACTTCCAGAGATTCTTTTCCTCTGGAATTAAGAGCAAGGGGTACTGAGTGAAAGGTGTAGTGTTTCTTCACCCCTTCTTGTGGTCAGGTGCTGTGAGTTGGCTCCCACTCCTAGCGACTTCGTTCACAGCAGAAAGAAACAGTTCTGCGCCATCCTCACAGTCCTTGCTGTGTTTGAGCCCATAGTTGCTGCCACTGTGTCAGTCCATCTCAATAAAGATCTTCCTCTTTATCGCTGCCGGCCTTCTCCGGAGACTGGTCCCTCCTGATAACATGCTCAAAGTATGTGAGACAATGTTGGCGGGGAAAGGACACCTATGGTATGCTATCTTCCTTACCAAAAATAAAAGGAACTTATCAAATAAACATACATCATACCGATGAATGCATAGCATATCTCTGCAGGGTCACAGAAGAAACTTCTTTGAATTCATCAATAAAGGAGGGGCGGCCTTCGGAATATGCCTCAACTATCAGCAAGTTTCAAAGCTATGACACACTGCCCGAAGCGAGCAGGATTTGGGAGGGGCAGAGCGAAGGCAGTAGCCCGGAAGAAGCGAGCGCCCCGGGGCACTCGGAGGCGACCCAACGAGCAGCAGAGAGGGTGCGGGCGCAGGGCATGTGGAGCCCAGCCGCCTGCACTTCCAGGGAGGCGCCACGCGGGGGAAGCCTCGGCCCACTAGACGCCGAACAGTCCTACAAAGACGGCACGGTGAGACGCAAAATAGAGACACCGAGTAAACTCCAGCTTCCTGGAGCAAAACCCAACATCGGGGAGATGAAAGGCTCTCACTGCCATGCAGGCGGATCCGACTCAAAGCCACTCCTCTTTGGGTTTCCGAGGCAGTATCACTACGGAAGCAGATTACCCAACCTTCTTTCCTACTCCAAAGGCTAAGTGAGCTTAAAAAGCAAATGGAGGGAACTCCCCAATGGTTCCACTGGGGCTCGAACCCAGGACCTTCTGCGTGTAAAGCAGACGTGATAACCGCTACACTATGGAACCACTTGTTCAGCGGGGGTGGCAGGCTTTCCTAACTCTACACAAAAACCCTTTTTTTTTTTTTTTCCTTTTCTCAGATGTACAATGAGATTGAGTTTTAACACTCAGCGATCATGCACAGAGAAAGACTTTCAAAAGGATTTTAGACTTCCAAGAGAAACTCCCAGCCCTGTTTCTCGTGGTGACATGGACTGCACCGTGACTCGGCGCCAACGTTTGTGGATTAAAGAAAGTGTGTGTGTTTTCGGTGACTATCCTCACGTATAATCCCCTTCCCTCCCCCGGGCCACAGGCCGCTCCATCCTTGATGTGAGTAGCGCGGAGGGGTGCCTAACATCTGGCTCTGTGGCGCAA